GGGGCTGAGCTGTTATATTTACTTGCACCTGTGACAGTTGCATCTTCTGAACTGGTAGGAGTGGGACTGACGTTTTAGAAATCACGCATTATCTTGGACCAGCCGACTAAATTTCGTTGATTTGGAAATTGTGTTTTGGATGTTCAATCAAAATTCGAAGCCCACTTACAGTTTGCGGGAGACGGCGACAGTTGGAATTGGCCTGGCTGATAGAAAATGTCAGTAGTATCCACTCATTTACAAGACTCTTGATAGTTCTGCCTTCTGAGGGTTGTTTAGAAGCAAGCTGATGACAGATTTGAGCCTCAGGCATGCTCCATTACTAATTTATCATCGAAATAAATGAACGAGTCGTAGAGAATGCGACCCCTCGCACAGAGATAGTACCACTTGATACTGCGCGGTACTAGCTAGCTTACCGTACATGACGTATATGTTTTGGCTCTTTTTTGAGCTTACTGAATTGTGACGATAGAGTGTATTTACAGAGGAACAATGGAAGATTTTGTGAAATGTCTTTTCTGCGAAAGAGAAAACACCAAGCAAGATGAATTCCTGGATTTGCCGCTGGCCATCAAGAAGTTTGGTGCCGCAGATCATTTCAAAAGCGTGGTGAGTTCTCTGCTTACTGGTCAGTTTCTTGCTGATTTTATGAGGAAATGAAATTGTGCGAGTAAAATTGCTGCTCATCTTGCTTGCTGAAATGACGAACACAAACTGCAGACGTGTAATTCAAAGTAGAATGGCATACAGCGTTGTTTCCTGCTTATTTTCATCGTTAAAATGTGAATATTTATAGGTATGTTCTATGCAAAATCCCTCAAAATTAATACTATCTCTGTACTCACTTTTAATTACATTGTATGGGTACCATTCAGTAATCCGCTTGTCCATCTGTTGTCTTTTCACTTTTGTCAAATTGGCAGTTCCTGCCATCTAAAGGAATCAATCAGGACAAAACATGATAAGTAATAGTAAAAAAAATTTTTATTTTTTACAGGAGGAAGCTCTTCACGCATTTATCAGACCGGAAATTTTGGGTGGTAGCAACCAGTATTTCTGTGATGGATGTATGAAGAAGCAAGATGCTCTCAAGGTAATGTGTGGTTTTTTCCCGCATTGCTTCAGTTGTCAGACAATGCTAAATTCTCAGCTGTTTTTACCGGATTTTGAGGGTCATGTGGGTTTTGCTGGGAAATTAACAGTTGTGCGTATATTTTTCGAGATATAATTTTAAGTAAGAAAAAAAAATCGAAAATTTCCTTAATTTGTCAGGTGCGGTGATAATAGCAAATAGCACTGGTGTGGTATTGAAAGTCGAGAGTTTGACAGGGTGAATGAGGTTATCCCTTCCACCCCTCCCCACCAATCACGCGTTTCAGCCTTAGAGTACGCTTGACAGCGCTACCAAGCACTCCTAGCAAAGTCCAGGCGGCGTTGGTGACCTCGCTACGAAATAGCGTTAGCAAAGATGCTAGAGTAACGGCCGAGCCGAGTTTCAGTAATTCCTTCCGAGTGCCTTCGCCTGTCATAGAAAATAGGTACAGGGAAGGGTTTTGACCTTTTTCGGCGATTCGTTTTAGCGATGTGCAGTCAGTGTCTTCGTGAAGTTGCTGTTGAAGATCCAGTTTTTTTTTTTTTTTATTTTACTTTATCACAAAATAACTGTTTTAATATTTATTTGCTCATCGAAGAATAATTTAGGGTTTGCGTATCACCAAGTTCCCGTATCTGTTATCCATACAACTCAAACGATTTGATTTTGATTGCCAGACGCTGCATCGTGTCAAATTAAATGACAAGTAATTCATCGTACACTTTCTTTGGAAATATTTTTGATGTTCGAAAACATTATTGTGAAATTTTCTAATACTTTTTTTTTTCAATATTTTATTACACAAATCATCACCAATATCTTTATTACTGGCTCAGAAAGCCTCCAAATGGGGTGGTACACATTTTTATATGAGGCAAGCAGTTGGTGCTAACTGGAATTATGCAGTTCAGAATCGAAGAATGTAGCATAAAGCGCACGAGGTTTCGGAGCACCCCCAATAAAATCGGTAACATACAACTCTCATACCGTTTATTCTGGAATTTTTAGAAATTAGTTAATTATCATGGAAGTTTTGGTGCTTGTTAATTATTTGTCAGTTTGATGCACACCAAAACCTGGTGTATCTTTTCCTACGGATAATGGCGATGCTGAGGGAGCGGCAGGAATTTGCTGGTAGACCTGAAGGAAGGAACAGAGATTAAAGTGAAATATGTTGAGCATTTCTGTTCAACAAATATAACCCGGGGGAAGGGGGGGGGGGGAGATGCCAGGATTAATAGCAGTTGAGTCCCTCTAACTACACTTACCAGGGAAGGATTGAGACCGCACTGATGGGTATCTCTGTATGTGCTGCAACCAAATAACGTGGATCATAGTGCGGATTTAGCAATTGATCATTGTCTGATTATCAGCACTTATCAGTTGATTAGGAGTTACCGAAACATTTCTTACCATTTTAAAAACTTCACATAATTTTCATTTCGTACCTTCTTTTTCCTCCTTTTTCTCTTTTCCCCATTCATTCCTGTTATTAATTTCTATTTATTATTTGCGAAGATTTTACTCATCCGTCAATTTTATCAATTAATAACTCAGTTCTATCGAAAAAGTAAGGAAAGTGGGGGGCGAGAGTTAGACAAAGCATGGAGAGGGATCAGTTGCTGCCCATTTTTAGGGAAACAAAATATTTATAAATGGAAGCTTATTGCTAATATTCTCTAGGTCTTCTCTTTTCGATAAATTATTATGGACTTATCAGACATGCTTGAGCAGTTTTGCACTGCCAATATTTTTGCAGGATGACATTTCCGGCCCTGTTGAATTTAAATGAATTTGTCTACGATGCAACGAAAAGTGAGCCACCGGCAAAGATGAGTTGGGCTGAAGCTGTAGCAAATCCAAGGTTGGTAAATTTTACCATTTCCGCACATCTAAGCAGCAATAATTTATGTATATGCAGTTCCAGGAGTACCCGTAATCATAGGTGCATCTAGGAAGAGGGGAGAGAGGGGGAGAAGCGATGCATCTTTCGCAATCCCTCCCCTGCCTCTAGATCTGCTTATGACTGCTTAGTTGGTGCAAGTACCAGTGCTGCAAAAGTCCGTAGCTAAAACTGAAGAAAACTCTCCTGCACTCTCCGTTCGTCCTGGACCCTCCCATATCCGTAATGGTACTTTTGAAATGAGACCATTATGTTGAGGGCAGCAGCCTCAAATTGTGCTGCCCAAGTTACTTAGATCAGCTATGATTCGTTACTTGGTCTTTCAGTTGCACAGCTAGCAGCTTTTGCAATTGCTTTGGCCAATGACCAGTGGCCATCGTGGTCAGCTTGCTTGTGGCTGCAGCGTTTTATTTCATTACCTTAAGGAATTACTAGTTCAGCCAGCTGTTTCTTCGGCAAAGGCATTTAGCAAGGCTCGGCATTTTGAGATGTGCTTTTTGTTTATTAAGCATCAATTCATGTTAGGCATTGCCAATACCGGACCGCGATGAAGTAATTTGCCGACTGGGAGGTGCTTCTGAATTTAGTATATTT